GGGAGAGAAACACATGAGGGGGAAAATTTTATATAATATAAATAAAAATAATACACACACACACACACACATCAACTTTACCTGTATGTGTAATCATATCGGATTTCTCTTCTGTTGTTTGCATGAGCAGGTGAAGATGCTCTAGAAGATCCGTCATCTGCCAAGACTGGTAAAGTCACACAATTCCATCAGTTCAGGCGGTTACAAATAATGTACTTGATGTGTATTTGCACTCTTGAGGCCAGTGCAGTCAGGATGCTCAAAACTGATGCTAACACTACAGAATGTACCACATACTACCTACTATATTTAGTAATAGCTAAATAAATTCTTCACAGGTGTATTCCTTTGTGGAACATGGTATTCTGTAGTCTGCTCAACTGGACATTTTGAAAACCATAGGAAGTTATGGTTTTGACAAAAACTTTGCATACTACAGACTGAAGCAATACCAATAGCAGCATGTAGTACACCATTCCAAGCCAAAAAGAATACACCTTTTCAAGCACATAGACATGAGTTTTCTCTGCATAATAAACCAGGATAGATATATAGACTTTAAATCTTTCATACAGTATGGAAAAGCATCTCTCATGGGTCCTTACCAGTTTCACAGCTGTCCTGTTTTTGCAGAGGGAAGACGACGGCCAAAACGTACTGGCGGTTCGGCGAGAACGTTAACGGCTGTCTGCGTTTAAATACGCTTATGTAGCGCTTATCAGTTTCTACAAAACAAAAAACAAACAAAAAAGTCGTTAAGAAACTGTCAGAAACGTTGACGAAAAAAGAAACAATTTTAACCCCCTAAAGCGCTCAACGTGGCTCTGCAGCTGCGCGGGCGCTTGATCCCCTCTGCAGGAGTTGCTATGGAGACCGCGTCGCGCGCAGGAAAACAGTGACTGAAACGACAGAGATTGAAACACCACAGCTAAAGAACTTAAATATTACGGTAAGTTATAAAGACCGCGTCGGAAGACATAACGTGCATGACATACAGTACTACTAAACGGACTAAGATGTAGAAAGTTTACATTAAATGCTTGTATTATAATTAAGTGGGTCAGAAGAGCTTGAGACCATCTTAGCAGCTTGGAAGTGAACACGGCAAAGATTTGTGCTAAAATACAGAAATGCTGCCTAATACTATAAAAATACTACACTACAACAATATTTAACACTCTAATACTGTATATTAATATTGTTTAAATTATTAACATTTACCTGAAATACTCTGTGCGGGGTCCGTTTGTGCGTTGTTATGTTGAGTCATGATAACTATCATTTGTTATTGTGATTGGAAGAATGAGCAGCCTCCACTAAATACGTGTCCCAATTAATGAGGTTAATTGTCTACAGCTGCCACGAACTTGCTCTAAATCAGGGTTCCTCAAAACTTGCCCTGGAGGGCCAATGCGCTGCAGAGTTTAGCTCCAACCCTGATCAAACTCACCTACCTGTGATTTTCTAATGATCCTGAAGATATTGATTAGCATGCTCAGGTGTGTTTGATTAAGGTTAGATCTACTGCAGGAAAGTGGATCTCGTGGGCCAGAGTTGAGGATCCCTGCTCTAAATCATGCAGAGGTGTAGTTTCAGATTTCAGGGTCAAGATTATGTAAAGCAGTGGGAAATAGTTCATGCATTGATTTAGCACAGTGTTTCTCAACCCTGGTCCTGAGCACCCCCCAACACTGCACATTTTCTATGTCTCCCTTATCTGACACCCATTTCAGGTCCTGGAGTTTCTTTTAATGATCTAATGAGTTGAATCAGGTGTGTTTGATTAGGGAGACACACAAAATGTGCAGTGCTGGGGGGCGCCCAGGACCAGGGTTGAGAAACACTGATTTAGCAGGTTAAAATATAATTTTCGTATGACTGTCTTGCATTTATGGTGTAATTACTAAATTTCCTTGTCAATCCATGTTAATTTTTACCGCGAATAATACGCGGTCACGGGGGCGCCCAGGACCAGGGTTGAGAAACACTGATTTAGCAGGTTAAAATATAATTTTCGTATGACTGTCTTTAAAAGTAAATGTATTATTTGTAGCTCATGAGTCAAGCAGAGGGGCGGAGCTCTGAGGAGGAGGAAGGCTCCAGTGAGAGGGCCATGCCCATTTCTGCAATAGCTCCAGAAGCTGATTCACATCATGAACAACCTGCTGTCATATCATCAAATCCAGCCCTGCAGGACCTGGAACAGGTAGAAGCTCTTTAAAATAATAATAATTAATCTTGTTAAATTGGCAAAACTGGTAAAATACCATGACACTAATGTGATTAAAGGCTTTTTTTTGTGTGTATTCATCATACAGTGTGGTATCAGAATTGAGTTGAGTACAAAAATGTGCTCAACCGAATGACTGTGTGTGAGAAAGTCCAAAACCAACTCTCAATGTTTAGATGCAGTTTTATTTGTTTTATAAAAAATATGAATACCTTTAAAAGCACAAATTGAGGTGTTTGATATAATTTCTCCAATGTACAAACAGTCTCTTAAAAAGTTGGCTAATAATGATTAGAAAAAACCCTGAAACTTATTCATTTCAGACTGGTAAAAAAAAAAAAAAACTTCATCAGGGTCTAGTCACACAGCAGTACTTAAAAACCTTTAAAAAATCATCCCATGCTTTCAAAATAAATGCTGTACATTTCCTGCCTGAATGTCACAGATATAGTATAGTATCTTTTTATCAACCTTATGGGCCTTTAGTCCATGTCTGTTAGCGTTCAGCCATCTGTATAAACATCTAGCCTACAGTAAAAATATATATATATTTAAAATTTAAAAAGTCCACCAGAACATTTTGAAGATAAAGAAGAATTATGAACGGTATAAAAAATTATTTTAAAATAATTTTAAAATAAGCTATTTTAAAAAGCTGTTCAGTGTGTCCCACTAAATACATCAACACGGGGGAAAAAATGCACTTATCAGGAGTCTATAAAGAGGGTGATGTAGTAAACCAGTTAAACACAAGATGGCAGTAGCACATACACAAAAATATGAAACCATAACTCAAGATCTGGTATATTTAGACTAGATGATGGATAGCATTTTGATGTGCTTTGCAAATACAAAATTTATACATTTTATTTTTTAAATGCAGTTCTGTTAACGTTTGAGGATTTGTAATGAATCACAAGCTATATCTTTATAAGTTGTTCTTGAGGAAAAGTGCGTAACTGCCCCAAAAAGAATTGTTCATTTATACTTCATTTGGCTTAGGGTGCATAATTCTTTGGCCTTATCATCATTTTGACATTTTTAAATGTTTGTCTGTAGTTTGTCGGATAGTACTCAGAAGTCCATATGGTATTCATGAAAATATACTCGCATTGAGCCTTTTTAAGTAGAATTATTTAACTTAATTTAACTTACGCTGAAGTTGTTGTTGTTGTTGACCTGGACAATTTGTGCAAGTGCTGCTGATTTTGTTGACAATCCCGGTAATGTTCTCAACTTTTCTGTCCACTATATCCTCCACATTTTGCAGATTGAGGAGGTTAAGTTCCTCCAGACGTCCCTGAAGGGAGTTAATCTGTGAACGTGCATTCTTCAGGCTGATAGACATGCGATTCATCTTCACCTGCATGTGTTGTACAATGTCATTATCACTGTTGTTCCCATTCCGGTAGACTCTCGTTCTGGTATCCCCTTGACTCTGCTCTGCGCTGTTTGTCGGAGGGTCTCCGCTGTCCTTCTGCAAGTTGAGGTCCACTTGCTGTGAGCTGCACTCCAGACAGGAGCTCTTCAACCTGTTTACTGTCTCCTTCAAGCTTTGCAGTTCCTTCATGGTCTTCTCCAGCAGTCGGAATTGTTTGGGAAGCTGGATAGTCAGCGGTGGCAGTGTGATCTGGTACGGGCACTCTTCCTCATCTTCACACTGCCCAGCTGGCTTCAGTCTCACCTGGGAGCAGCTGGAACCTCCTGACACCCTGTCCAGAACCCCAGAGGGGCCACTACCAGAAGCCTCTACCTCCTGCCAGACGACAATCAGCAGAGAACAGCACATGTACACCAGTTTCATGTTCTCAAATACAGTGATCTAAACTGAGACCGAGAACTGCCTCAAAGTGCAACAGCTTTGCCATTAATATCAGAGGAGAGAGAGAGAAAGAAAGTGTGGGTGGGGCAGCTTTGCATTGCATAATTGCACAGTCGACATCAACGCAGGAAGAATTTGGTGGAATAGGACCACTCACCCTTTGTCTTGAAACACAGCACTATGACTCAGTATTTAGGAATGATGTTTGTCTTTATTTTTTACCTTGAGTTTAATCTACAGTATATGAAAGAATGAGCCAGATAAGCAATTCAAGTGCTGAGAAGGCACTAGTTGGAGTTTTTTGTTAAAACTGAATTAGATTTAAAGTGAAAGTTCATTCAAAAATGAACATTCTGTCTTCATATACTTATCCGCATGTTGTTCCAAACCTGTATGAGTTTTCTTTCTTCTGTGGAACACAAGACCAGAAAGTTTCTAAGTTTTTTTTTTTGTGTGTGTCAAAATTTTGCAAAGTGTTATATCTGAAAGGAAAAAAAAGTCATAGAGGTTTGAAACAACACAAGGGTGAATAAATAATGACAGAATATTAACTTTTGGGTGAACTTGAACATAAAAAATTCATATTTCTTTCCCTGTATTCCTGTAAATGCTGTGGTGTTCTGCAAAATATTGTCTGTCATCATTAATTTATTCATACTGTCATGTGTTTGCATTACGTATTGCTAATGTGTTTGTATTGGCATAGGATCATTTGTTGTCACAAAGCAGTGTTTTACTGTAATATTGGCTGTAATACAAACAAGCTTTGTTTGGGACTTTGGTGTCATAAACTGTAGTATTTATTTAATCTTTAGCAGATGTGTCGAGACGTCTGCCAGAAATAGCTTCACAGTTTTGTTTTGTTTCTTTTCCCCATTGAATTGGTGCTGCAATTTTCTGCAGAAGTCTGTTATCATCAATATACTCCATTTTATACTCCCTTTTTCTTTCTAATAGATCAGCACAGAGAAATGTTATCCTAAACTGCCTATTGTAAGATGTGCTCCAGTGTCTTACTTCAAAGCTGGTCCTCCACATGTGTGCTTCATGATTTCCCATAAACTTGACAGTAACCAGCTTTAAGTCTCCAGCCTTGGCTCACTGCAGGAAGTCTCTAAATAAAAGTGCTATAAAATAGGAAGTGATAACACACAAGCTGCTTCTCAAGAAAAAGATCTTCAACATTATATGGATCCTTGGGTACGAACTCTCAAACCTTGTGTTTGTTTGTCTCCACTATAAAGGAGAAAATCACACATGTTCAGATTTTCTGTTGATAATCAGAGATGCTTATATAGAAAATGTCAACTTCAGTGGTCAGATAAACAACACTCAAAGCTTCGATCCATCCTTTCCATTCTGGAGTTCAAATGCAAGTGGCACACGTGGATTTGCTCTAAGACGCACCTGAAATGAGTCTCCGTAAATCCCCATCAACCTGTTTGGCTTTGAAATGCAATTAAGCTAATGTTTATTTGGCTGTTGGATCATTGATAGTTCTTTTTTCGTGTTTGTCCTCAGCTGTTCTCCATGGGAAAGATCAGCGGTGAGAAAATGGCTCGTCTTAGGGCCAGCTTCAACCTCTTATATGAAACTCTAAGAAGTTCTCAGGAAACAGAAATGCATCTGCTGCAGGAGGCAAAGGCCTTACGCACCACACTGGATCAGCAGAAGCAGGAGCTGGAGAAGGCCGAGCTGTTTCCTGAGGGACCAGACACAGAGGTCAGCAGACTAAAACAAACGCTTCTGCAGTACTACAACCAGCTGAAGGAGGAGGAAGAAAGAGAATACCAGATGCAGTTCCAGTTTGAGTGGTAAGATGCTCTGCAGGACTATACCAAGATGTGTGGCTCTGCTTAGGCTCCATTTAAAATATGCAAAAAGAAGAGGTGTTTGGTACTTTATCTGCATCCCTCCGAACACTCGCCTCCATGTCCGAAATCAAAAAAAGAACACTGTACCTTTTTCTAAGTACCTTTTGTAACAAACATGTGAAATAACTTTAAAAAAGGCCAAAAGCTACTAATAATCTTAAAAGGATAGTTCACCTAAAAATGAAAATTCTGTAATTAATTACTCACCCTCATGTCATTCCAAACCCGTAAGACCTTCATTCATCTTCAGAATACAAATTAAGATATTTTTAATGAAATTCGAGAGCTTTCTGATCCTCCATAGAGAGCAACGCAATTGACACGTTCAAGGCACACTCACAGAAACATAGTAAGGACATCATTAAAATAGTCCATGTGAGATCAGTGGTTCAACCATAATTTTGTGAAGCTACGAGAATACTTTTTGTTCACAAAGAAAACAAAAATAATGACTTTAATGAAAAACAATTCTTCTCCTCCCAATCATCCACCATTATGGAGAGTACGGCGATGTGTGCGTTCCTCTGCATGTAAACAACGCATGCGCATGATCAATCATCCACCATTATGGAGAGTACAGCGATGTGTGCGTTCCTCTGCATGTAAACAACGCATGCGCATGATGCTGCTGACGTAGCATTCGCTGCACCTTGTTTTCGAATTTGGAAAAAATTTAATTTTTGCTTGAACTATCCCTTTAAATCAGGCCTGTAATATTTTGGTGTGGTAAATTAGATTGATCAAAACCTCACTGCTTCCATGGCATTATATGTTAAAGGTGCCACAATCAATCAATCAGTCAGTCAGTCAGTCAATCAATCAATCAATCATTAAAACATTTCTAATTGACAAAAAGCACCCAGTCGTAACAGTGAATTTACTGATTGTGTTAACGTGTTAACAAAAAATTTATGATTTAAGAACTTCTAAGTTTGAACTTCTAAAACGTCTGAGAACCACTGTACTAGAGATGTATTTTATGTTTGTAAGTTGGTTAGACAGGAATTCATACTGCAGGCATATTACAGCCAGATGTCGTTTCTACACATGTGGCTATTACAGCATGTCCTGAGTGGATCCTTCATCCTTAGCCAAACTGACATAGATTCACTTTGCACAGCATGCTTTTGCTCACTGTAATCTTCTTTGTTGGGGCAGTTCGGTTCATGCTAACAGCAGTACTTGCATTCAGCTACAATATTTGTACACATGAAAATGTTCAATAACCCTAGCCACATTTATAATTGTGAAATATCCTGTGTGCTTAAAAATAATTATTTTTTTGCTTCTCAAAGTTTGTATCATGCATATTTGAGTTCCTTTTTGTATGAATTGCTTCATATCTTGATTAGGTTCACGTCCTGATTTCTGTAAAATGCATGAAATTTGTTTCACAGAATTTTGTTTCTCCTTTTTAGTCTAAAAGAGGAGAAGCTCTGTCTTGAGAAAGAATACCAGGAACAACCTAAACCATCTGTAAGTACTGCTGGGACCATGATGATTTAGGATGAATTCATCACTGGGTATTCCAGACAAATCGTATTGTTTCACTAGGGAGACTGAAATGCTTCAAAACACACACACACACAATTCTGCAATAATAAAACATCAAATCTTTCTACTTCATCTATAATTCAAAAAGGTGCGTGTAGAACATTACACAGAAACTTTTTTAAATTATTTTATATTTATATTATTAACTAATTTCAATATTTATAAACAAGTTATGAATGAATGAATATATACAGTGGGTACGGAAAGTATTCAGACCCCCTTAAATTTTTCACTCTTTGTTATATTGCAGCCATTTGCTAAAATCATTTAAGTTAATTTTTTTTCCTCATTAATGTACACACAGCACCCCATATTGACAGAAAAACACAGAATTGTTGACATCTTTGCAGATTTATTAAAAAAGAAAAACTGAAAAATGCTCAGTATTTAGTAGAAGCACCCATTTGATCTAATACAGCCATGAGTCTTTTTGGGAAAAATGCAACAAGTTTTTCACACCTGGAATTGGGGATCCTCTGCCATTCCTCCTTGCAAATCCTCTCCAGTTCTGTCAGGTTGGACGGTAAACGTTGGTGGACAGCCATTTTTAGGTCTCTCCAGAGATGCTATATATATATATATATATATGTATGTATGTATATGTATATATGTATGTGTGTGTGTTTATCATCGTGATTCATGATCATCTTTATCACAGCTGAATATTGTAAAAAAAAAAAAAGGCAGAAATTGTATCCGCTCCTTTAGTTTGTTTCAAAATCTTGTTTAAATCTTAGGTTTTTCAATATGGTCACAAATGTTTGGGTCACTCTGTATATATTTATGTTGTCCTGTATGTCCTCAGGAGCTAGAAAATAGGTACATTGCCATGAAGAACAGTTGTGAGGAGGTGAGGAAAGAGGTGGTTCAGCTTAGACAGGAAGTGAAGACTTTAAGTGAGAGCATGGAGACTCAACACAAACATATAAAGAAAGAACAACATGAGCTGGAGAAATTAAAAGATCTTGTTGAAAGCAATGAGGTAAGCAAGACCTGTTAATCACTAGGCTGGAGTATCTGTCCTGTGAACTTTAGGATGTGGATTTCACATGTTAGCAATGTCTTTCACCAGGCTGAGCTAGCTCAGGTGCTTCTCATACCTGTTCAACTGGGAAAGGAGATCGACAGGATTGCCCACAAGAAATCGTATGTGGCTTGTTCCAGCAAAGTTACACAAAACACTGGAAATGTTTGACTGACTAATTAGCACTGTATCTGTTTGTGTGTCATAGGGAGCTGGGGAAGCAGGTTGCAGTAATAGGGCAACACCGTATGGAGCACATGGAGCATCAGCAGAGGATGGAAGCTAAGTGTGAGGAGGTGAAGGAGGCCAAAAGAGAGGTAGTACGAGAACTAGAAGGCCACAAGTCTCAGCTGGTGGCTGCAGAGAACAAACAAGACAGACTCCTCAAAGAACTGCAGATGACCAAAGAAAAAGAGGCCATGTTCATGGATCAAAGGTTGGAAGAAGACATCTGTTTGCAAATTGGTCATATAGCTGTGTTATAAGTCATATAAACAATTTTTTGAGTAAATCTACTGTATTGATTGTTTTGGACTGCAGGGGTCTGCTGGATATCAACATGGAGCAGATTGTTGCTGAGTGCAAGTCTCTGCGTGATAAACTGGCTCGAGATACGCGGCTGAAAGACAAGCTTATGCGAGCCCTGAAGAGGAATGAACTGCAGCTGAAACAGGCCAGAGACTCTCTTGCTAACACTCAACAGCAGCATGAGAGGACGCAGGCTCAGGTGACTCAAAACGCATCTAATATCTAATAAATACATCTAGACGCTCACCTTTAGATGCAATATTGCTGCTTACACACAGTCCTAATAAAAAAATCCTAATTATATCAATAATTATACTGTAAGAGTGTTTTTCAGATTTTCCAGGATTTTGTAACATTTACTTTAGAACGATTTATCGCAGATGCAAATATTTTGGGACATCCTACATTTCAGAATTGCTGTACAATCATTTCTTTCTCACGTTATGTATGGAACAGCTGATCATGGGTTTTTTTTATAACAGGAACTATTAGTTCCTTTGGATTTTAGAGATTTTTGTTATGTAAGAGAAATGACGTAGTAGCACTTGTGCGCAAACATCCAGTTACGCCATATTTTCGCCATAATCTTTTCAATACAATAGAAAAAATAACAGGAAAAAAAGGAGACATTGAAATTGTAGATATTATCTTTTATGCTGGCATGAAGAAATTAGCTGTCAAGAAATACATTTGGGAAGTTGATGCCCTATGGTTTGACATGCTTTACTTATATAAAACTATTTTAAACAGCATTATGGTAATATATGGTAACATTATAGTTTTATAGTTAGTATGCATGAAGCTTTATGAGCTGACTTTAACTGAGAGCCTACAATGAATATTTTATCACACTGTTTAAATCTAGTGACGGTTCAAAGGTGATCTTTAAAAAACTTTTACACCAAAAAAAAAAATGACCCAAGATACACTTTCTTTTAAATTATAGTCACATTTAATTTGCCTGTTTTATGTTTTTTAAAAAAAAAATTTATGCAGAGAGAGACAGTCCCAGAGGGTGACTGCTTGTTGCAGAGAAGAAGAGATCTGGAAAAGGAAGTGGAAAACCTAAAACGTAGTTGGATTAGCAAGGTATGTACATAATGACAAGTGGCTTTTAGTTTACATAATGTCTAAATGGTGTGGCAAGATGCATTTCAAAATGAGTTTGTGTCCGAGTCCCTTTAAGGCAAGTCATGTCACTCGGTGACCATCTTTGAAACACCTCTCGGGCATGCAAATGCAGCTCCTATCTCTTTGAATGGGGAAACATCAAATTCTCCAAAACTGTTCACCAAGCTTACAATTTAAATTTCATATTTGAAATCACCAATTAAATCTGACAATGGTCTCATAAATGTTGTTTCTTTTGCTCAAATAGTGTTAATTATTTTTCAGGTTAGACCAGCCAGTGTGTATGCGCAGTCCTAAACGCACATCTCAGAATGCTGACGGTTTCTATAGCAACCGAGACTTCTAACGGCAGCTGCAGTTGACACGCTGACTATTAGATTTTCATTGATTCTTTTATTCAGAAGGCGGGGCTTCCTTCGATAGAGCAGCCATACTGAGCATTGCATTTCCCCCCCATTCAAAACTATAGGAGTGACACGTCTTGGATATTCTATTGTCTTTGGTTTGTGTCCATTTGTATGTTTCATGTGTGTATGTGTGAGAGAGTAGCAGTCTGTGGCAGATCTGAAGGTCCAGCTGGTTCAAGAGTACGTGGAGCAGGAACAGGCTTTGATTAGAGAGTCCTATCGCCGTAGAGACGAGCTTCATCACCTTCATCATCTCATACTTATTAAAGCAGATGAAAGAGAGCAGAAGAGCCGTGAGCTGCTCAAAGCACAGGTTACATTCTTCTCAATCCAAAACAGTTATATCAGCATCACTGTTGCCCTGTGATTTTATTTCTGAGCTCTATAAGAGCAAACCAACGTATTAATCATTCTAGGTAGAAATTAAAATCCTTTCAGCATTTACTCATCCTCATATCATTTCAAACCTATCTAGTTTTCTTTCTTCTATGGAAGAGAAAAGTAAGTATACAATGAGAAGGGCCCAAAAATGCCAAAAAGCAATTGCTATATTCTAAGTCCATATGTGTTTTTTTTAAGTCAATATTGATTTCAAATGTTGCCTATTTCTAATGCGGGTTTGGAACAACATGAGGGTGAAAAAAAATCACAACAGGATTGTCATTTTTGGGTGAGCTATTCAGTTATGCTTGCTTATTGATATGAATGCTGTTGCAGCTAAAATATAAGCGTGCCAAGCAAGATCTGCAGGGGAAAGGACTGGTTATTCAAGAACACTTGAAACAGACTCAAGAGACCCAGTCAAGGTATTTACTGGTGATTGACACATACTCTATAGACAGGCTGAAATAGAGCTAAAACTTTGACCTGATATAGAAAGAATCAAGTTTGTTAGCTTGTAGTCTGTTCCGTAAATGTGTACTTGTGTGCCTTCTTACCCTCACCAGGCTGGGTGTGTTTGCTAAACTGTATGAAGTCACCAAGGGCGAGCGGAACAAATACTTGAGCCTGATCCACATCTCAAACCAGAACCTGGCAGAGGTGCAAGAGAAGCTGGTTAAACTGGAAGAAAATCTTAAGACACTGCAATTGATTGCTATCAACAAAGACAAGTACCGTAGCTCTCACGTTATATGTTATACCTAGTATTTTGTTTTTACAAATTACAATCTGTCTACAATCACACCGTAAGATAATAATAATAATAATTATTATTATTATTATTATTATTATTATTGGTTAACATGCTTGGTTTCACTCTAGGTTGCTGCAAAAGTCCCGTCTACAACACTCTCACAGCTACAAGCTCAGAGACCGTATGAAGAACGAGCTCTCACGGGTGTTACAGGTTCTGCAAGAAATGCACCAGAAACGAGAGGAGCAGAAATTGAACCTCGGCAGGCTCACAGACACAATCGACATGCTGGAGCAAAAAAAGTTGCATATGTGCAAGAGCTACGAGGCTGCTATGCAAGAGCGCAACCAGCGGTGAGAGAACGATACAAGATCTGTCAGGTGAATTCTCGCAGTCTGGGGTGGGATTTGAACCATAACTTTGTATCTGTGTTTGTGTTGTCAGGGCCGTGCAGCTTGTAGAAAAAGAGCAGGAATTGTGTATTTTCTATGAGAAGCTAAATGTGCTGGTGAAAATGATCGAAGACAGCAACCTGAAGATACAGAACATGGAGGATGAAATCAGCAACCTGAAAATTGAACAGAAGGAGCAAAAAAGACAGAATAACCTTCTCGGGAAACAGTTGTCCAGCAAACGGGCCCAGGAGGAAGAAAGCATCCTATTACAGATACAGGTATCTGCATCTCAGTTCTGAAACCACTGTGCAACCTTTGTCTAAAACAACAATGAAAAAAGTGAGTGACTTCTCAGGGCATCTTCCAGCTTTGGGTAAAGCATCCAAAGAGATGATATATCACAGATACATAAATAAAAAAATAAAAAAGTTCCAACACACTATAATGCAGTGGAATGTAAGTAAAGGTTAGATTGTATATACTATTCCAAACATTTATTGCCCTCTAAAGTGGCACACATACTCACAGATGTGCTGTTTTTACCATTTATAGTTCCTTCTGAGAGATAAAACTGATATAAACCATCTTAGCAAGAAGCTCCTTGATAGTTTTATACCCCACTGTGTTTAATCAACACAGTCTCTTCATATAAACATCTACTGCATCAGAGCAGAGTTCTCAGTTACTAGTTCTCATCCTTGCTGTAGGGCTTAAAGTAAGGGTAAAAACATATTATGTCCCCAGACACTGTGTGCAATGCCAAACTAGTTCAAGCCCAATTTTTTTCACTACATTTACATTTGTCACAAATTCCACATAATACTGATGTTGAGAAACACTTCCTGATGTCCAACACATTATTGCTACACTGAAAATGTCAGTTACACTGCCGTTCCAAAAGTTGTGGTCACTAACATTGGTCATTAAAGGGGTCATATGATGCTATTTTAAAGATCATTATTTTGTGTATTTGGTGTAACAGAATATGTTGACATGCTTTCATGTTCAAAAAACACATTATTTTTCAAATACTGTACATTATTGTAGGTCCTCTATGCCCCGCCTCTCTCAAACGCTTCGTTTTCTACAAAGCCCCCTCCTTTGACAAGCGCAGTCCGCTCTGATTGGCCAGCTGACCCAGTGCATTCTGATTGGCCGAACACCACAAGCACTCGTCGGATTGCAACTTTACAGATCTTCTTTATGCACTAAGAGCTTGTAACACTCCAAAGAGAAAGGAAAACTTGAAATCGCATCATATGACCCCTTTAAATTAATCAATAGTAACAGTAAAGACTTGAATAATGTTACCAAATATATATTTTTAAAATAAATGCAGTTTAGAACTTTCTATTCATCAAATACATGTATCATTTCCACAAAAATGTTAAGTATAATCTGCTTTAATAAGAAGAAAAGGAAATGTTTCTTGCACCAAATCAACATAGACTGATTTCTGAAGCATCATATGATACTGAAGAGTGGGGCAATGACTGCTGAAAATTCAGCTTTGTCATCACAGGAATAAATGACATAAGACTTCTTTCAAGAACATTAAAAAATCTTACCGACCCAAACCTTGAACAGCATACAACAACTTTATTTTTGTACACCAAGTATAAGTGTAAGAAGAAATAAAAGGTAAGAAATATTTTTGTGATGTGATGACCTCTTAATTCTTACTGTGCATCACAAGGCGTCCTGTACTAACACAAGACTCTGAACAAACCAAGAGAATCAGCCTACTCTTAATGGAATGTCAGGACAACCGCCAAACAGAAACAAGGATTAAGACTCCGACCCCAAGCATTGTCTTCACCAGCCCACCTTCTATTATTGTGATGCATTAGATTGCTTAAGAAGGCTTTTATTCTTCAGCTTGCGGAGAACTAAAAGATGACCTTTATCGCCAGCCCTTGGCCTGTTTATTGTGGGCTCCAGCTGGTGTTGCAAGTGTCACTCTCCTTGGCTGTAGTCTTGGATAACGTTGATATCTTTCAGGTCTCTCCCAGATCAAGTCCACTTGGACATCTAACTTGTATTTCAGTTTTTCCTCTTTGTTGAGATGCTTAACACTGGGTTTTAATCTGGCGGTTTATAATTGACAGTATAGGCAAATTATTAATCCAGTTCGGTTGGCTTTATTATGTTTTGTGAAGACATTTCCAATAATTTGGCCTTCAATTGAGCACAACAAAACAAGTACCCCACCTCATGTTGACACCAGATGATTTCTCTGTTGTGACATAGCCGGAAGCCCTGCAATGTTGTCTTTAGTGACTGAAAAGCACAATGACACATCTAGCCAGCTGCCAGCCTGATGGCGTTTAACCAAATGACTCACAGAGGGATACAAACACACTCACACAATACACACAGTCTGTGCATCTGTGTAATAAGAGCAAAGAGGCTTTAAATGAGTCCACTGTTTTAATTGTGTCCTGATGGTGCGGCTGTTTTTTTCTGTGCCATAGCTGTCTGAGACGAAAGACAGACTGACTGAGCTAGAAAAGGCTTGTGTGAACCATACTTATTATTATTATTATTATTAATTATTTCTATTCTAGACCTAGTTCGTTATACATATATTTGTACAGCATATACAGTATATTGGTTTAATACATTTCATTGTTAGAATAGTTGGAAAAATATGCACTCATATAGATAAAAAATCAAAAGGAAAAGTTAATGTCACTCACTGGTGTGTGTGTGTTTAGTTAGAGGTGCATTTGACGGATAAGGAGGCTCAGCTCTTGGAAATGGAGCTTGTGTATGAGCAGGTTACACGCCTTTCCCAGCGCATCCAAATCAAAGCTGAGAATGGTAAAGAAGACACGCTGCATCTGGCTAAGAAAGTAAGTTTACAGACAGATTTACTCTAACACTGCATAGCAACATGGTTGGTTTTGCTTCAGGACTCAGCATTTACACTGGACCTCAAAGTGGTAAGCCACAATACAAAATACTTGATGCTTTGACACCCTGCAGACCTCATAGTCTCCAAAAAACATTGGCTGCCCACATTAATGAACCATAGCAAGCTGTCCTTAACAAACAAGCTGTCCTTCAGCTTAACTAAACTAATGTGCTGTGTTACTGTAAACACATAAGGTCATGTAGCCAGGAGTTTTATTCATTTAGAATATGTTTGTGTTTTAGGTGAACGAGCTGCAGGCTCAGATCAGGGAGCGCACTCGTAAAATGATGGCAGTGGTAGCAGAGCTGTCCATGAGACAAGCTGAGTGTATGACCCTACAGCAGGAGATGAAAGAGAAGGAACTACAGCTGGACTTGTGTCAGAGGAGTGTGGAACAAGGCCTGCCCCCCTCAGACAACATAGAGAACGAGTGGCTGCGTTGCCTTCGAGATCAGCACAGACGCCAGGCAGACGCAGAGGAAAAAGCCAGGGTAAGCTTCCAAATGCACTCAAATCTTACAGTAAACATCATTAAATATGAAATTATGGGTCACAAAGGACACGTTTTCATGAAATTTGTCCTTATAGAGATAAACATTTTATGAACTTCTCGACTGTGATTGATGTATTTAAATTCATTCTACCATTATAAGGACTGTCTTGTTGGATCAGGTCTGTGCTAATGCTCCGTTTGGAATCGTACTTTGATTTAAATATTTGGGTAAATATTTAAACCACCTATTAGCATCATGTTTGTGTGATACTGATGTATTTCTATGTTTATGTTTGTTAGCTGGCTGAGGAAGACGAGTGGAACCAGCTTCCAAACGGTGTTTACACCACGGCTGAACTGCGACCCAATGCTTACATCCCCACTGACGATCCTTTGCCAGTGCCCAAACACTACGGAGCCCTGGCCCCCTTTAAACCCACCGAACGTGGTGCCAACATTCGCCACATCCGCAAACCAAAAAACAAACCTATTGAGATCTAGAGTGAGTCTGCAAACTCATGATGCTTACAGACACAAAAATAAAAGTCCAGATGTGCTCCCATTCCTGAGGAATCTGGTCCATTTCCTCAGAACTAGTGATGCTAACATAAGACTTGTTTATCATATGGGTCTAATTTCAATGCTTAGCAGCCCAGTGAAGCTCCTTCTGGTGGCATGCTGGGAATTCGGAGAGATTCTTTAGAGATTTGCCAGAGCTGAGGGGTGGGAGAGGGGCTAGAGATGATGCTATGCCCTCTGGAGCCATGCACAGCTGAGTCATACAGCGAAATTATTTACAGAACCAAATGGGACATTTTATGGAATTTTCTACTCTATCACAAAGATTATAAAAGATTCATATGAAAAATCATTCATTATTGTGCATTCTACAGCATATACAGTGGGTACGGAAAGTATTCAGACCCCCTTAAATTTTTCACTCTTTGTTATATTGCAGCCATTTGCTAAAATCATTTGTTAATTTTTTTCCTCATTAATGTACACACAGCACCCCATATTGACAGAAAAACACAGAATTGTTGACATTTTTGCAGATTTATTAAAAAAATACATACATTTGCTCAGGCCCCATTTGAAAATAAATGGGAATGTGGACTTGACACAATTTAAATTTAAAATAACAATCAAAATGAACATAATCAAAAATTAAATAAAAAAATGTAAAAATACTAATGCCCATGTCCTATATATTTTTTAAATGTGTAATATTTAGAATGTTAAAGAGAAACCATTTTCAGCACTTTATAATTACATTTGCAAAAATATCTGGAGGCAAGTAAAATGATTTGCCTAATAATTGCATGGCTAATCTTTAGCCAAATCATTTGGATGGTTTTATATTTTGGCATATCACCAACCCCTAATCTTGGCACAGCTATAGCTTAATAATCAACTTCATTAATCGTGTGGTTTTCATACACGTAGTAGCTCAAAGTGCTTTACAGAAAAGTAACCAATAACCATCTAAACACAGCTGCAAAGTGAATAGCATGCCTTACAGGCTAAACAGTATAATTGCAAACATACAAAGGCAGCAATATAAAATAACCTTTCAGGAAATTGCTATCGACAAGAAGCATCTTATTTTGTAGAATATAAAAACTAAGCATGAAGAGTACAAAGAATATATGATTTTTTTTTATTTCTCGTTTGTGAAATATTTACAAATGTACCCAATTTGACCCCAAATAACATCTGGGGGAAAAAATCCCTTTATGTGTCTTTTTTGTTGGTGCTCTTCCATCGCATCTGTGTGTATAGAAAAGTGCATAATATTCCCCATACGTATTGGCATCCGTAGAGTCAGTATGTGTTCTTCTGGGTACTAAAATGTGATATTTAAAGAGCAGACTGACAGTTGGCAAATAATCTTTGGTCAAGTATGATTTTGGGCTTCAGTTTTCAAATATCTAAGATATCGCTAACATTTCTAAGAGAAGTTTTAACATTTTAAAAACTTCTGTACATTACTAGTCACCTAAATATATCAAGCTTTGTTCTTTGGCCAAGAGGACTTTTTCCCCCTATTTTCTCGGAATGTTTTCCATGTTTCCCTTTTTACCACTTTAACATTTGTACCAGTTTTTTTTTTTTTTTTACTTGACTTCAAAGCCCAGCTTGATCTGTGTCTGCTTTAAGGCCATCTCCTCCACAAACCTGACATCCACATTCTCCTGCTCTTCAAAAGGGTTCTGAGCTGAAATACAACACCCACACAATTATTACCTTACAGTAAATGAAAATATTTACTATCCTACAACATATTTTATGAATGACTTCATCTCTGAAACCGTGTACCTTGTTCCTCCCTGTTTGAGAGAATCTTGGCGAGGTAGTTTAGGGGCAGGAAATCGGGATAGAAACATGACTTGCCATAGTCCAAGAGTGCAGAGTCCTAAAAAATATCATGTGTTTAGCTGGTAAACATGGGAGCATTTGTTCTGAACTAAGAGCCAAGACCATGATTCAGTTTCCTAAGAATCAAAACACTTTATTCTTCGTTCGATTTAGAACTGTACATCAAAACAGCAGTTGTAATATTTCATTCAGCATCTAGTCTAACAAGCTTTTTCATCCAAGTATTAGTTGCAGTTGTTTGGCAGATATTCAAGCCAGTTTAACGCCGCAGTGTTTTTAGAAAAAAAAAAGAAAAAAAATTTTCAAATGAAAGCAAAAGCACCCTCAGTTGAATTGGTGAAACTGACAAATGCTCCAATGTATTTGTGTTTACGTTCTGAAGAGCATCAAAAGTTTCTATTTACAACGTGATTTGTAGTGTTGAACAAAGTAGCCAATCATAGGCAAATCAGTTGATTTCTTAAACGCAATGACTAATCAGAGGTGTTTAATTTAGATCAGAATCCACTCTCTGCTCAAAACGTCTGAGATTTTGTTCAGTGCTGAGTTCTGCACTCTTGTGAATCATCTCCTGGCAAGCCTTCTAGTCTGTAGGCTATAATAAGCTAAAATCCTTTAATAATTTGGTTCTGGTTCTGGAACCGGGTCTGCCCCCTGCCATACTCACCGTGTTTTCTACGTTTTCTACGTTAAGTCCTGACGTATTCTCTAGAAATGCATGCAGAAGTTATGGGGTGATCCCACTGCTGGCTAACTTTCTGCTCCATATGCTAATTACAAAAACATGTCAACATGAAATGGAATTCACAACCCGTAATGTGATATTTATCGGTTCGCAATGTGACATTTATGATTCAAATACAATATTCATTAAGCAAAAATGTTGGGTGGGACACAGGGAGTTGATTGGATTAATATTAATGTTATCCACCATTAAAATACTGTTAAATATTGTCCAAATTTTAGGAAAGCTGCATTACTATAACTACAACTATTTGGCTATTGGTTAATATTTTCCCATTCCAGAGAAAGAATATCATCTACTTTAATGATAGATTCTGAAGACAAGTTTAGATTTTTTGGAATAACTTGCACAGATCAATAACACTAGGAACCAAAATGTTTCCAAAACAAGAGGAAGAGGTGGGAAATCAATAATGGATGAGTGCACTACCATGGAAAACAGCCGAACGAATCAGCAAGGGAGTAATTGGCTTGCATTTTTCTATTACACCTGCCGCACTTCCTCACTTGGCTGCCTTGAGACTAAAAAAACAAAGACTGAAGCCCAAGCACATGCTGTGACCCAACACACGACCACAAACATGCTCACATTCCTTTTCTTTTACACAGGATTAATTCTGACATCTACAAAAGCAGCTCCAAGCTCGAGCAAGAAGTGGGGCAGGGGTCGGACCTCATAAGACACAGATTTCAAGAGAAGAGTTAAGTAGGAAACTTACCTCAGGAAGTCTTTTCAGAATACTGAACTTCAACTGCTCATTGGCATCACTGTTATCTAAATCTGTCATGAGATACATAGAAAGAGTGAGAGAACATAACATTGTTCTTAAAATAAAACACTAACTCCTAAATGGCTATGTTTCTTTAATAATGTGGTCTCGTATTTATCCAAAGTCACTGTTTGATTCAAATCTAATTCATTTTATGCAGGTCAGGGATATGTTTTTTGTCTATTGGAGACCTTAATGCAGTGACCAAGAATATGCTGTAGGACAGCACAGGAGTTCAAAGTTGACCGGTAAAGTCAAAGTACTTTATGTATGTAAATGGACAGTTTTCAGAACAGAATATATTAAAATGTGTTTAAATAAGTACCTGTCATAAGTCGTGAAACAAATGGTTCTGTGAGCTGAAGAAGGCCATGGTCCACATACTGGAGAAAAGTGTGCTGTGTGAGACATCGGGATCCAAGCACACTTAACAGTGTGGAATAACCTACAAGTGCACACATAATAAACCACTTAAGCGATTAAACCAGTTTTGTGATGGATAGAGTGGACAGAACTGAAGCACTGGGTCAATGACTCCACTACTAATCGTCTTCCAGGCAGGCCTGAGCGCAGGCCAAAGCATTTGTGTCAAAGAGTGGATCCACCCAGATAGATCTGGCACACTTCAGATTTCAGAAACCGCTTTTTTCCCCTCACTGGGTCATAGAAAATCGGACACACCCAATCGCTAGACTACATGGGATTCATTTGGAGTTTGGAGAGATGCTCATCTGATTAATCTTTAGAGGGTTCAAATGTATTTGGTCAGCCATGGGAGAACTAAAGATTCAGTTTTTCCCTTTAGCAACATTAAACAAACTCTAAAAACATCTAATCATGGAAAGAAAATACAGCAGCTCCCTTTTTTCTTATTATATCAAGAACATTAACTCTAAGATCTAGTGAATTGCCTACTTAGATAGTAGAAACATGCTCCCAACAAGAACTGTTTTACTAAAGTATAGTAAGATGTTAACGTCAAACTCTATTGGAATCAATTGTGAGTTGAGTCTTTTCATGTAAGGAGAAATATTTGTGCGAGTTGCTGCCCATGTGGAGCATTCCAAATAGTCACTTTTGAGGTTCAGTTAGGATTCTGTCTTAATAGGCATGTAGTAGACAAACAGGCAGCTCACTAGGATTTGGAACTGTTTTCTAAGTGTTCTCAGATTGTCTCTGTCAGGCATCTTCTTACCTGGAGGGAGGGGGAGACAAGAGTCCTTTAGTTGCTTCCAGAATGCGAAACATCACATGAAACATCGCCCACTCTTCTGAACTACCCTGCTGCTTACTAAAACAGAAAATTGAAGGCTTTAGATTCAAGAAATCAAGCACTCTCGTTCCCCCCAAAGAGGAAGTAAAATATGGACAGGTGTACATACATGCAGAGCACCCAGGGGCCCAACTTCAGCTTCTGCCACATCAATTCCAACACGTGCCAGACCAGTTCCAGCTGAACACAACACAGTCATATGTTACAAAAATACATATAGCAGATTCAAGACAACACCCATCCTCTATGAAACTACTATGAATTTGTCAAGATGTTCAGTGGAAATAAACTCTCACTGTCCTCAAGTGACAACTGTCAGAGAGTGTACTGGGCAGTCTGACTCACTCTCCCTTCCTGTTTTCAATGAGTGCACAAATGCACGAGCACCACCCCTGCTCACTTTAGTTTCACTTGAGCAAGCTCATTAACTCCAACACTCGCTTACGCTTGGTAGATAATGAATGTGTTCTCACATCCTCATGCTCACCCTGGTCTGAAAACAGGAAGAACCAGTAAAAGTCTGCTTCCCCTTTGGTCTCCCGAATGGGCTCGATCCAGTGACAATTTGGTGGAAACAGATATTTAGTGCATATCTTGAACTTTTTTCCTTTACGCAATAGGAGAGTAGAACATTATGAGGTTTGTTCCAATCTTCCAAGCAGGAGGGAGATAACTGTGTTTTGGCATAAGGACAAGAGTTTATCACTCTGGGACCAAGCGCACACCACAAGATAGAATGTCGTCGACCTGTGCATATTTAAAGACTCATTTTGGTCCACAATTTATAAACTAATCACTAAATAGTTTTAGCAGTTGATCTAGTGGCAGACTTACAATAATCAAAAAAGGGTGCTTTGCTTAAGGTGCAGCTTTGTTTTGTGTCGACAGAGGAGATTTGTCCCACAGCTGCCAATTGCTAACACGTGCGCTGCAAGAGATTTCATAATGATGCAAAAGCACAAACACATACCAGCTTCGCAGCATAATTCACCACCAGCAAATCGATCTTTTTCTTCCCAAGTCGTGATAAATGTCTGTTTAAGTGCTCTCTGAGTTTGTCCACCATCTGAAAAAAACATATATATATGCACTTCACACATAAGGATGCTTTTAAAACGGTAATGTACAGTCTGCAGGTCATTTAAAAAAAAAAAATTGGTTGACTGTACACTGTACTGTGTTAATTCTATATGTAAATAATACTATATCAAAATATTATATATATATATATATATAACAAATAGTAATAATATATATATATATATATATATATATATATATATGCTAAATATGTATACATATATGCTATATACATATATATTTGAAATAAAAAAAGACCACCAAATGATCCAAAAGACATGAATATAAACTATTAAGGAAATTGGTTGCTTGGATTATGCTCATTTATGCAGTTTAGCAGTCATCATAAAAGGAAATTTGACAGCGGAAGACCAATCAGTATCATGTATTCCAGAAAGCTGTACAATAAATTATAAATATACAATTTTATAATTAAATTAAATTAAATCCTTAATGGATTCATCCAAATGGATGATTTCAACAATGACTCACTTTTTATTTGGTCTCACATTCGATCCTTGTTAGATTTGCAGTGGGTGGTCCGTATAAGAATAATAAATCTTAAGGACTACTGCAGTCACAAGAATATTTTAAGGCAAGTCTTCGGTTTGTTATTAGGGCTTTTATCCTTGCTGTCATTGTCAAGGTTTGTATAATGTTCTAGAATTGTCTGCAATTGTCCCCTATTCACTCTGATTTCAGCTGCTTTGATGGCATGTCTGCTTTATTTTGTGTGGAGAGTTACAGCTGACCACTGCTGGATGATGGACGATTGGCCCACCAGCACCCTCTGCTGTTGGTCTTCCTCTTGAAACAGTGGAACTACACGCTTATCTGGAAGGACAGAGAAAGCTGTAAGAAAGAAAGTGAGTGTTTAAGGTTTAGTTTACACAAATCTGTCATCATTTACACACCCAATGTTGTTACAAACCCATACGGCTTTAATTTTTCTGTGGAACCCAAAAGCCCTGCCCTCATCCATAGTTCTCGAATTTTATTCTCACTAGAGTACATTCAGACTTTTTTTTGGTCACTATGTGAATCTGTTGCATGGAAAAGAGCAGCGTTAGCATTCTGCAAAATAGCTTATTTTGCGTTTTACAGAAGAAAGCCATACAACAAGAGCAACGTGAGTAAATGATGGCAGATTTTTCATTTTGGCTGAACTATACCGATAGTCCTGTCAGACAAAATTTAACAACCTTAATAATTCTACAAATTTCTATTATCTTTGTAGGAACTGATTTTTTTTTTTTTGGTGAATGACAAGCTACAAATGAAAAAAAAAATCGTCCAGCACTGAAAGGTATTCTGACAAACACAGGATAACACATTGATTTGTCTTATGTGTGTGTGTGTTTGTGTGCTTTGCGAGTGGGAAGGAGGTACTGTAATCACTCTTATATAATAGTATGGAATTCCTCCACCCATTTCCCTCGTATCTAAAGAGGTGCTTGATTAACCTCACATAAACCTAGAGACTGATTACATTCAAGCCAGAGAATGTGACCCTGAAACTGAAACTCCAGTCGCAGGGACTTTCCATGAAAGTTTGAAATATTTCCAGGATTTGATCAGGGATAAATAATCTCACAAGTGTCCTTTCGTTGACACGACTGGCCATTTAAACTGAGTTTCTCTTACCCAAACGCCAAGTGTCCACCATGGACAGAACTCTGCATGTAAGAAACAAACAGGAAAAGAGACATTTGAATTACATCAAGCTGCAGTTCACCAACACCAAAACAGCAAAAGTAAATATTGTCTTGTTTTAAAGAGGTTCAACTTATTCATATAAGAGTTAGTTGGCTTTTGCATGAAATAGCACTCTGTTTTGTTTTGTAACACTTTTTTGCACACTCAGTCTCCATGCACACTCATAATATTTGCCACATGCCAAACTCCACCCACTTTTTTGTGTTCTCCTCAATTTGGCGATGATAACGGAGAGATTTTTTCTTCTCTGAGTTCTGCAGCAATAACAGCAAAAATGGATATTTTTAAACAGATAGTTGTAGCATAGTCCTACTGTAGGTGCTCACCAGTCAATATATTGTGCCTGTCATATTTTAATACTCAACCAATCAGATTTGAGAACCAGAACAAACTGTTGTATAAACATATATAACATATACTGCATATAGTATTATACATTTATAAAATGTATAAATATATATGTATAGCCCTTATAACTAAGGCTGTCAATAAAATAAAATATCATTTTTTATTTTATATTTTTTAATTATTTAAAAAACAATCCATTTTTTGTTGTTGTTACATGTGTATCCAGTTCCTTTTTAAGGGGAAAAAAAAAGTCAAAATAATGTGTAATTATTGAGTTCTGCGATATGTTTGAATGTTATATTTCTCAAACCTCTATATTTCTCAAAAAATCATACAAATGTGCTGTGATTCAATAATAAAACATTAATAATAAAACACTTTCCCAATATGGCCATAAAGATGTTTTTGCCGCAAGCCTGCAGTCTTCAGCGGGTGTTCACATTTTTTATGAATGACAGTGTTTCAACTGTGGGTAATATTTCAATTTTTGAGCTTCACTGAGGATTTAATTTCACAATAAAAAAGAATGCAAATAACTTTTGTTTAACATCTCATCTGGGTTTGATTAAGAAATAAATTATCCATAAAGAATGTCTTTACTGAGAAATGTGTGCTCCTCTAGGGACTTTTGTGAATGTGTGTGTGAAATGAACACTTATGCTTGTCTACAAATCCCACAACTTTTGGACCAAAATTAAACATTTTAACAAATTTGATTAACTTTTAATATAGATTCTGGGTCACTTCAGTCCTGATGCGTAATGTGTGGTCCTAGCGCTCACCATAGCAGCCTGAAATCTGTCCCAGTCCTCTTTAATCAGACTGGACCTGAAGCATGTGCTCGGTACTGCCTCAAAGTACCTCATCCTGTCCAAGACATGCTGGAGCTCCTCCCAATAACCCTGCAGGCTTTTAGGCTTTAACCCACAAGAAGCAAAATTATTCCCACAATAATAAAATACAAATTACAACATTATTGCAAAAGAAGATTTGCAAAACAGACGTTTCATAAATAAAGCCGTGAAGCACATAAGTCACTGTACACTTTCAACAAATGAAGTGTGTCTTAGTGATGGAGGGGGTTCACAATTTCATTCTGATCTATCAATTTTTTGGTTTCAGTTGACAGTTGAAATCTATTTCATAACTCAAACATTTCCTGTTGATATGTTTCCTGCTAACACATCTCCCAAGCAGATTTAATGAATTAGATATGGATTGGCTTTTGCCTGCTTCAGTCTATGCACTCTTACTGATCTGCCACTGTTTCTTCTGCCACCTAGTGTTTAGAAAGTGCACTGCTTTTTGCTCATTTGTCAGCCCATTTAATGTCTGTAATGTGGTATATAGAACATGAATTGTGTACAATATGCTCAGTAACATGTATTAAGAAAGTAAATCGGATCAATTTTTATTTCAAAGTTGGCTTTAAATAGTGATCATAATCTTAACAGCTTAATTAAATTAAATGCATAAACAGCCACATCTGTTTGAAATACTCTCAAACTCTCAAAAAAATGTCCTGCTGTTTATCATGGAAAGAATATTTCATATAATACAATAATGCATGTAGAATTTGGATCTCTCTTACCTTCCCTTTAATTATTGGCTGACAGAGCAGTTCAGGAGTGCATTTCACCCCAGAGATTGCTGTCAGAGCCACAGGAAGCTCCTAGAAAAAAAAAAGACATAAGACTTTAATTCAAGCTCATATAAAACAGAAAAATAAGTGATGTAGAGTCTTTTTTATCAGGGGAAAAAGTACTCATTGCACCTTTTTCTCGAAAACACAGGAGTACGGCAACAACTTATCTAGGCTCACACACTGCTGGTAGCTTATTCTGTACAGGGTCGCTGAAATGAGAGTTATACACTTGTTTTTAATACTAATTTTGCATGCAAAACTGACATAGGTCGCATGAATAGAAGCACACACCTAGAATAAATTCCTGAATCTGATCAAAAGCATCAAAGCTCATGACATTCTCACTGATCCAGTTTATAATCTGGAACAAGAGAGAAATGAGAATCACACATTAGAGTGAATTTTCAGCACACAAAACTAATCTCTCTCTCTCTTGCTCACCTTGTGCTCTATCTCAGGATTTGGCTGAAGGTAGACCAGCATGCAGTGCAGAGCAGCAAGCCGCTGGGCCTCTGGCCTGTCTGAACTGAGAAGCTCAAGCAGGAAGTCCGGATTGAGCTCCATGGTGTACATCCTGCCGGCACGGACATCAAGCAGCCTGCTGCCAGACACACTCACAACTTCTCTGCCTGAACCCAGAGCTTCAATGTGACCATCTGCCCCTGGGAGAAGGCACAGAGTAAGGTAATACACACAGAAAACACATAAATACACAATCGATCAGCACAAGTGGTTGTTTAAAGAACATTTCAAATTACAGTTAAAATCATCCTAAATATATGTTAAAATTAGTGCTGTCAAATGATTAATCGCGATTAATCGCATCCATATATGCAAAGTCTAACATTCATAACACAAAATAATAAAAATATCAGACAATAATAAATATCAAATATATGAAATATATTGCAGTAGTTCAAATAAAAACAAACACACAAAATGAAATGAAACAAAAAACCCAGGAAAAACTCACCCAAACTTCTGAAGAGAAAGACAAAAAAAAATAAAAATAATATATATATATATATATATATTAGGCTGTACCTGACAGGAAAAGACTGTAGCAGAGCAGGTCTTGGTGTCTGCAGTTGATGAGGTGAAATTATAATGAATTTTTTTAGCACATATCCTCATTACAAAACTAATCTCTCTTTCTCGCTCACCTTGAGCTCTATCACAGGATTTGGCTGCAGGTAGACCAGCATGCAGTGCAGAGCAGCAAGCCGCTGGGCCTCAGGCCTGCCTGAACTGAGAAGCTCAAGCAGAAAGTCAGGGTTGAGCTCCATGGTGTACATCGTGCCAGCTCGGACATCAAGCAGCCTGCTTCCAGACACACTCACAACCTCTCTGCCCAAACCCAGGGATTCAATGTGACCATCTGCCCCTGTGAGAAAGCACAGAGTAAGGTAATACACACAGAAAACACAATATTGTTTAAGTGATTGTATTTCAAATGAAAGTTAAAATCATACTAAATACATGTTAATTATAGAATTTATATCGAGCAGCAAAACAAAACAAAACAACACACAAAACAAAATATTAGGCCTTACCTGACAGGAAAAGACTGTAGCAGAGCAGGTCTTGTTGTCTGCAGTTGATGAGGTGAAGGAAATGATCAGCCAGGTACACCACTATATAATAATCTGAAATGAATAAAACATCAACTGAGAAGATAACCTATGACACTATTTCAGATGAATGACTTTATGAGAGATAATTAAAGACAGGGTTGGATGGATTTCTGTGGGCTGAGTGAGAGATGTTGGCTGTCCTAACCCAGATGAATGAAGATAGGATGGACGGTTGGCAAATTAGCAGGTGCAGAGCCTTTCTCTAGAGACACAGTGAACGTCTTACTGCAACCTATCGGAGAGAGTCTATTTAATCCTCTATATAATGATCTTTGTGAAAATGTTTATATCACTGCTGCATGATGTTTTGTACCTCTGTGCACAAATGCAATAGTGTAGGTGGCGTCCTTATGCCAGTGAACTGGATGGCTGTAGCACACACACATGGTTCCTGTTCATGACATCCAGAGATTCAGAACAGCAACTTACATCAGTTCAAATCAAATTAATTACATACAAACACAAAATCAAAGCCAAAATAGCTGAAATGCAGATCAGCAGAAATCATGTAGACGATTTACAGCATACATTCGGCAATAGATGATTTCAGGAACTGCTTTTTGCGATTATAAGCCAGCTTTTAAACTATCAACATGTGAAGCATGTTGATTGTGATTAAGTCAAAACATGCAAAAAAGCGGAGAAAATACAAACTTACTCTCTATCCCATGATAAGTTAGAAAAGTGAAAAAACACAGGTAAATATGAGCGAATGTTTCAGTATTTCACAGTATGATTTCATGTTGAAGAGCACATGCTAAATAACTAACCTGTTGGGCTGGTGAACACCTCTAACCTGAGATCCTCGTCCTTCATGTCCTGATAGTGATCGTATCCAAAATTAACAAACCTGTAAAACCACAGACACCGCTTTATTCTTTTTACACCGGGTTTTTACAATCATGATTATGTTTGTATGTATTATGAACTGTTTCGCATGTCTTTAACTGCAAAAAGTCAAATGAATTAAGTCACTGACCTCACTGAAGAAGTGACAGACGAAACATTGGACATCTCCAGTGGAAGCTCAAACTGTTGCACATAAAAGCATTTGTTTTGAATTAATCAGTTCCTCTAAATATTATTAAAATAAGGCAGTTTAGATGTGACACAAAGATGTTTACCACAGTCTCAAAGTTGCGATCGGGGTAAAACTGCACACACTTCAGTGTGTGTTTCTCCTATAAGATGGAAAAAATAACCATACTGGAAATATGTACATCTTCAGATCTCAGAGAAGAACAAAAAATAAGGTCAAACAACAGTGAAAGTCAATCAAAAAATGTCACTCGTGAATTAAAAAGCCTTTATTATCAAATGGCTACATCCAAGAAATCTAAAAGATTTTAGATTTCTTGGATGTAGAAAGTCAACAGTGAAAGTCAATTGAAAGAGATTCTGACCCGTGCAGAGAGATAGAAGATTCTTTGAGTATCCGAGTCCCATTGGACCCAACTGAAGTCCTCTGCAACTCTCTCTCTGCTCAGACGCTCAGGATTCTGCATCACCTGTTTGAACAAGCACATGTGTTTTTACCATTCGTATGAGCATCATTAGATTTGTATAAATCCTTATATCATAAAAAATATCAAGAGCAGCCCTTATCACTCTGTAGCCCTCCTGCCTCGTCAGAGTAATGTGGTACTGATCAACATCTGTAGAAACAATATAACCATTCATGATAAATTACAATAAATATGTTCAAAATAGTAGTAGCTTGAACAAAATATGGTATAGTGCAATGCAAAAAAGCATATTGATGGTTTCTGAAACATTTCCACAAAACATACAGCCATCCTCTGCCGCCAACAGCAAATGACTCTCCAGTACGGTGGTCCGACATGTCTTAGGATGAAGAAACTAGAAAGGGGGTCATGAGAAATAAAAGACAATTTCAATGTGATTTCAATGCGTTTTTCATCACCAGCTTCACATAACTGCTGTTTACTACCTGCACTTTGACTTTGCAGTCCACTGCCTTCAGGACCTTTGTGTTATTGACTGAGTGTATCTCAATGAGAAGAGTTAAACATTTTGACACTAAAGCAGAAAGAAAACAGAATTATGTCAGGAGTTAAAGAATAACCTGGACAGCGTGACTGCAAACCTCTGCTAAGCTCATTTATATACATTTAGATTCTCTGTTTTGTGAATGCACTTTTATTTCCAATTGTATTATGATGTGAGCAAACTAGTATAAATTGTATGCCTCTTGAATTTAAAACAGAAACAAATCAAACAATCGTTAGGACCACAGTTAAACTTTTTGAACATGTATTTGGTGAAAGAATTAGGGTTTCTTTCAGACACAAAATTGTTATTTTATTATTTATTTTATCAACTCTACTATGATGTTACCACAGCACCCCATAAGAGAAGTGAAAGCATATTGGTATAAAACTGCAAAAAAGCTTCTTCCTCCTCAAATGGTCTAACCATAAAAATATTTCAGAAACAGGAACTTGTGACAATCATGCCATAAAGGCCAATAAAACTATGTTCAACTGTAACTTAAAACTGAAAATTACAACAATTGATATAGTGGAGTTCAGTCAAATATATTCAATTGTCCATTTGAATAAATACAGTAACATTTCTCAATGTCTCACAAAACTGATTATTATTATTATTATTAAATGAATAAAAGGCCCAAAAGAGGGCTTGAATTTAGATTTAGGAGCGCATTAAAAAACTTAAGTGGTACAATGAAAATTCATCAAATAATGTGTTTTTCTCAATAAAGGGATACAATGAAGCATTTATAAGCAAAATGAATTTATTAAAATGCAAAAAGTAATCTAGGCTTTTAATTATTTCTGCTTAAACTGTATTTAATAGTAATGTAATTATTTATAGGCCTACTTTAAACTATGTAAACTGTAGGTGTGTGTATACAGTATATATAACATTGTTTACAGTTACAGTTAGCTGCACTCCTATTAATTTAATGTAATCATAGCCTTTTGAAGTTTAATAATCACTGGTTGTATCATGATTCCTGTTTTCCATACCCAAATGTAATTCTTACTACTACTAATGTAATTATAATAAAAATAATTAAAAAAATTATATAGCAAGTGCATTAAGTCCGCTTACATATATTCGCTCTTTCCTCCTTTGCCAAAATGCTTGACACAACATCTTTTTGAGTATCAAAAATGGGGTTTAATCTCAACATGTGTGTTAATTGTCCTGCACAGATTTAGCAGAAAACAAGTCCACTAGACCTGAGATTGAGGAAATGACCTGATTTCACGCCTCAGCAGAGTCATTAATGGCATAAACGTTCTAGCTAAACACACTAGATTTGGAGATATTGCATATTACCGTATTAGCCCGAATATAAGACGACCCTGATTATAAGACGACCCCCCTTTTTCCAGATGTACCTTTTGGAAAAAGGCTTTTTAAAAACCAAATCTTGTTTTTTCTCAGTAAAACACATTTTGTCTTCAATTATTTTCATATTTCATATTTTTCCTATTTTAATTTTTGTTTTGAAAGTATGGTAAAAACTGGTAAAATGTACCAACAATCACATTTAAAAAATATACACTTTTTGATATACCATAAAAAAAAAAAAAAAAATAGCCCATCTGAATTAGGACATTTAGGCTATCCATCTAATAGTAGCCTACCAAAATCTTATTAACAGTAGAAGTAGAGTTGGTCCCATCAGGCTAACGTGACAGTCACGACTCATGCAGCTGTAAGGTTTTCTGCTTCTTTTGTTATTACTCGAGATCTTTACAACACGCATTACATTACGTATTTCATGGCACACTCGTTTTATGCATATTTGGCGCCACCTATTGTTGTGGGTGTATTATTGACATGTCAAAGTCTAGACCCTGAATATAAGACGACCGCGTTTTTTCAGATGTATTTCCAAGAAAAAAACATCGTCTTATATTAGGGACAATGCGGTCATTCTTACAAGTCGCTCCAGTTTATCAACGTGCTGAACATAGTACGCTAAACACCATTAGAAATGTAGTAACGTTACTACTAGAACGAATCGTTCGTTTGAACCGGTTCTTTAAAACGAATCGGTCGATCTGCATCGAACATCAGGAGTTGGAAATGATCGTGACTGACCCCGTGACCTAAAAAAACATCACGATCGATGACATTCGACTCGAAATGAAATGAAAGTCCGTCAATCTGCCGATCCCGACATCACTTGCGGTGTTTACAAAAGATCAGCCATATGAGCACGAAGGCGGATCCAAAACACAGCTGAGCCAATCAGAATCACACTCTTTTGGTCTACAGAATGAAGTGTAAATGTATAAGGAATTGTTTATATTATTCTTAAATTGCATTTATTATATATTATAATTGAAATTGTATATTCATTATTTAGAAAAATATCGATCTACTTATATATTTAAATGATTAAATCTTAACATATATTAAGATAAATCACTTGGTTAAACGTTTTCAAAGAGCCTGACGTTTTTGTTTTAAAAGTGGCATTGAGTAAATTATTGAGAAAGTCAGTTTTCTCAAACTCCTAAATTTAATGTGCTGATCAGTACTTTATTGTTAAATTGTAGTTATAGAAACCACCACTAGAGGGGGTGCTTGACTTCAAATTGATTTGCATAAATTGGGTCCATACTCAGCCAATTGCAGCTGTGAAAACGTTCCATATTTTTAACATTTATTTCTTGCTTTTACATTTTTACACCAAGTAAACATTTAACAAAGCAACAAAAGTGAATATATGAAGTAAAAACCCCAGCACCAATCTTTTACACATAAGCTACAGCATTTACTCTTTTCAGTCTTTCTATCTGGCCTGTACTTGTAGTCATGCACAACAGCAGGTGTCCATTCACTAAATATCCTCAACTAACAACCAAGACAGCTTGTAAGAAATAATTAACGTTACTGGCTGTGATGTCTCATACTCCATATACAATAACGCCAACACTTTAACAGCCATACACTGGAAGTTCACTTACCAATTTGTGTTCTCCGTTATGTAGTTATTTGGTTAAAGCTTTGATCATCTTAAGTTAATTTTGCCGATAGTATGCTAAAATGTTCTTGCAATTCAGCTGATTATTTTCATCCTTTTAAACCCTGTAGATTTCTAAAACTCGATTACATAAAAGGAGGGCAAGTTTTTAGCATTATTTATCTTCCCTTTAAAACCACTGACTGAAGCTACATCTTGCATGTGTTACAACAACTATAAAAATGGTTGCATAGGTCAACAACGCTCACAATCAAACAAAAATGAATCAACTACATCACTATGTGGATGAAATGCAGAGGAACGGGTAGAGGAGGGCTGGCTGCTCACTAGCTCTGACATAAACAAAAAAACAAAACTGCTCCTCTTCAAGTTTTTTCTAGGCAGGTTGCAATCATACATTAAAACAACTGCACAAAAACAAAATACACTTGTGGGAAATATTCAGCATCAAATAGTTAACTATATCATACAGTGTGTCTAACAGTGTACATTTTTAATTTAGGTTAATACAGATTCTCAACGTCCTGGGGGAAAGAAGCTTAAAAATGACAGAGAAATTAACTTTATTGCAGATTAGTCACCTAAGAGGCTCGAGGTTAAAACATCCTCTGTTTTCTGAACGTAAGGCTTCAGTGATGTATCTGCTTCCCTTTTTTTTGTTTTTTTTAATATGTGACCCTGTTTGATCCAGTGTTGAAGAGCATTTGGACAACATTTGTGTCTCCTTTTAGCTAAGCAGCAGGACAAGAGAGTCTTTCCATATGTTTGGCCATATAATTATTATGCTTTTTTTTCCATTTTCCTTTTTAATCGTCACCAGGGACTCCTCTGAGAACAGGTCTACTGTGTAGCTCAAAGCGGCAGTGCATAAGCTTTTCATCTGCATTTGAATTGTCATTTACATTCTAATCCTTCTCTTCCAGACCATCAGTGCCAGTTTCACGCCTTGCCCGCCTTCATGTAAGTGGGGATGGTGCCACGCTGTGTCAATCCCTCAAAGCGTTTGTAGGTGTAGTTAAGGAAAACCCAGTCCTTGGACTTGAAGTCTGGTTCTGTTACATTTGTCACTGAAATGAGAGGTGAGGAGGAGAGTCAGAACAACAGTGACATGAAATATATACAGTATCTCACAGAAGTGAGTACACCCCTCACATTTTTGTAAATATTTTATTATATCTTTTCATGTGACAACACTGAAGAAATGACACTTTGCTACAATGTAAAGTAGTGAGTGTACAGCTTGTATAACAGTGTAAATTTGCTGTCCCCTCAAAATAACTCAACACACAGCCATTAATGTCTAAACCGCTGGCCACAAAAGCCTGAAAAAAAGAATTGTTGCTCTACATCGAGATGGCGTAGGCTATAAGAAGATTGCCAAGACCCTGAAACTGAGCTGCATTTATGGGCTGCATCTGTTCATATATGAGTGTATGTAAAAGAAGTGTTATATCCATTGCACATGGTCTGTATTGAGTCTAAAGGTCATAGACAACAGATAATGGGTCTCTTCTCAGGTAGACTTCATACATCAAAAGAACGGTTTCAAGATGCTTGATCCCTGAGCACTAAAGGTATGGACACATTTTAGTCAATAAAATTTATTATAAGTCATTCACTACTTAATAAATCAGTACATTTTACAGGACTAAGTATGTAATATATAATATTTATATATTACTTTATTTGTATCTTATTTTACTCGTATATCCTAAACCATTTTTCTAAAAACTGGAAAACAGGAAATTTCTGAAAGAAACCATAACTTAAAAGGAGACTTAATAACTGAACTTGGCCATGTGGGACACTGAATCACTCTAAAGGCCCATTCACACAAAGGATGAAAACTATAACAGAAATATAGTGTAATACAATCATTTTTAAAAATCGTTCTAATTTCTAGGAAAATAGCAAATTACACACCACCACTTTAATGATAACAACACAGAGGAATGATCACATGAACGCTAAAATTGTTGACAGCAAATCAGAATGTATCCGACTTTAATGCAACTAAATAACCACGGTATCGTCCAGTGGTGTGAACGCTAATATAGTTATTTTGTTTTTTGTTATTGTTATTTATTAATTATTTTTATCATTATTGGTGTGAAAAGACATGGAGATGTACAAATTCGATGCCAA